CGGGGTAGGGTGGTGTGTGTGTGTGTGTGTGTGTGTGTGTGTGTGTGTGTGTGTGTGTGTGTGTGTGTGTGAAACCAATTAGAGCTTTAACATAAAGGCGCCCTTTATAAATAAAAAGGAGCAAATCTTTAAAAAAAAATAAGTTGGCTTTTTCAGAAAACCTCTTTGTTCATAATCTAGTATTATTTACTCATTGATATTGGTGCCACTCTTTTTCAGTGTTTCTTTGTCCTCCTTTTCTGATTGATTAATCTCCCTCACGTGACAGATCAGGATTGAATGCCAAACACAATCATTCAATTTTTTAAAAAGTGTATATATAAAATGACCTAACTGTGATGAGTTCAGGTATAAAAGTACCACTGAACCTTACCGACCCAGAACCTGTTTTAAACTTTATCTGTGTGAACCATGTGATTGACTTTGGTTTTTTCCCTTCCTTTCTTTAGTTTAGCAAAATTGGAAGAAGAATTTGAAAAAAAATTCAACAGCCTCCCTCAGTACAGTCCCATTACGTTTGACCGGAAAAGCGTATCTGTTCCAAGGAAAAAGAAGAAGGTTGGAAGCTGTCCAGCAGAACAACCAAAATCCAACAAAGGTAAGGTGCTTTCTGAGGTACATTCGTAATGCATAATAGCTGCTGTGCTGGGTTCAGGAGTTATTTTCTTACCTCAGCATGCTTGCCTACATGTGAGGAATGTGGAGTCAGTGTTGCTTTCTTCATTGTGACAAAGTTGGTTATCACCAGGACTTTCACAAATTTTGTTTTTCCTTTTTCCCTTTTATTCATTGATTTAACATATTCTCACTCTGGAAATAAAACATTTCTGCAGTAATGCCTCCGTTCTAAACCCTTGTAAGTCCAGTACTCAGTCTCTCATGAGCAGAAACTTCCAATTGTGTCATGTGTGCATGGTTTGTGTAGTGTGGGTGAGTATCCATTAGGCCTAATTCTTTGAGCCTGTGGTACTATATGTGAATATAAATGCATCAGGAAAGGAGGAATGATTACCTGTAATTCTGTTGTTCTGAAGAGCTGAGGCAACAAGATGCTGAATACACCGATAAAATGAGAATAACTCTTACTGCCTGATCACTGTGTTGATGGCACTAACTGACTACTTTTGCAGATCTAAATACCTTATTCAGACATACGTAGTTTTGTGCTGTTTGTCTGAATCGCGAGCAACCAAATTACAATACATGGAACAGAACTGTTGTGATGTTGTTTATACAGTGTGCCCAATATAGTATTGATTTTGTATTTATGCAAGTAGGGAGGGGCTGAGCAGGTTCTGGCAAAATTAGCCATTGTCCATAATATTTACTGAGGCCTGATCGTTGCTAATTGCAACTCTATAGTTTGTATCTGAGAAATCTACAAGCCAGCCCAGAACAAATGAACCAATTCTACAGCACAGTAATCTGGTGGTTTATTAGGCAGCACGTTTTGGGAGCCAACTGCTAATTGATGGTAATCAGCAGTAACTTCCCTGATTTCTAGCAACAGCACACACTGTTTAGTGCTTTATTGACATACTCATTTGTCTGGATATCGTGGGATATGTTCCATAGTCAGATAGTGAAAAGTTGAATTCTGCCGTTGGCTTTGTTAGTAAGTTGGTCTCATTCTCATCTCTATTTTTGCAAAGCACATTTGAATTTGAATTTTTCCAGTTTCTTGTCTTAAGAGAAGGCCAGCAATACAATTGCAGATATGTAACAGGTCAGGTATGAGTAGTGCTGGCAGAGTCCTCTGGGTAAGATTATGCAGCACTTGCCTATCCCATGGGTACATTTACACTTCCAGCCAGTGGTGTGATTCACAGCTTGAGGAGACAAACTCATGCAAGCACCAGTCGAGCTAGTGTGCTAAAAATAGAGCACGGGAGGCGAACTAGTTGCTCCAAGTACGTGCCTAGGTTCTCAAATGGGTATGTACTATAGCTAGCTTTATTTTTATTGGATGTGTCTCTTTGAGCTGGATATCACACCCCGAGCTCAAAGTGTAGACATACTTTGTGTCTGGCCAAGCCACAACTAACAGTTCCAAATTTCCATGAATACTAAATTCACTTGCAGCTATTGAGTGAGATTCTCAGCTGGGATAAGTCAGCACAGCTCCATTGTGGGCTGGCACTGAGATACCAAGAGGTAGAGCTGGTAAAAAAATTTCTGTCAAAGCAATAATTCCATTGAAAAATGTCAATTCAACAAAATCAAAACCCAGGAACATGTTGATTTTGACATAATTTTGTCTGAGGGGGAAATAGTTGAAGGGAAGCATTTCGGCAGGGGAATGGAACACTTAGATAGTTTGTTTTCAGATTTGTATATTTAAAATTTATATACAATTAAAAGATATATAGATAGATAAAAAAGTCTCAAAATTAAAACGTTTGATCTGAAACAAAAAAAAATTCAGAAATTTCATTTCGTGGGAAATTTCAAACTTTTCACATTTCATTCCAATTCAGAACAACAACAACAAAAACGTGAAATGTTGCAAGTTCCCAAGGAATGGAAATTTCTAATTTCAGTCACCTCTTCTAAGCAGTGATTGTGCTGCCAACAAATGTATCAGATCAACAGAGATGAGTAGTTCAAGTGTTGACCACACTGGCTGGAAGTGGACTCTGGGATACTGCAGATCATGTGAGGCAGGGATAAGAAGCAACCCGGACCCAACCATGTGCAAGAGAATTTTAACAGTGTAAAAGATATCTGCCCCACCATGGCTAACTTCGTTAAGCTGGATCCCAAACTTATCCTGAGATGTAGTGAGGATATTGCCATGAGTAGTGGCAGACTCTGGAGCCTAGACCCACTGTGGGCTTTCCAAGCTTGCCTTTACATTAACAGCTGACCAGATAGATGACCTGCTATATAGACTGTTACGTCTACAAAGATTGCTATCGAATATTGACCTGAAAAACTGTCAGATGTGCATGTCTGTGAAGCGGGCCCATGTGCATGCTGCTAATAAAGAAGCACATTAAGTGCAGCACGTATAGTGAAAAGTCTTACGAAAATTATAGAGATAGTTCTGAGGGGTACTTTTTGCCTGTGTTGGAACTCAAGCATTTTTCAAATGAATCGGAGAGGCAGTATGGGTAGAGTCCAGTGGTTTTCCTCCAAGGGTACGCATACCCTGGGGGTACACAGAGGTCTTCCAGGTGGTACATCAACTCATCTAGATATTTGCCCAGTTTTATAACAGGCTACAGAAAAAGCTCTAGCAAAGTCAGTACCGACTAAAATTTCATACAGACAATGACTTGTTTATACTGCTCTATATACTATACACTGAAATGTAAATACAATATTTATATTCCAATTGATTTATTTTATAAGTATATGGTAAAAATAAGAAAGTAAGCCATTTGTCAGTAATAGTGTGCCGTGACACTTTTGTATGTTTGTCTGATTTTGTAAGCACATAGTTTTTAAGTGAGGTGTAACTTGGGGGTACGCAAGAGAAATCAGACTCCTGAAAGGGGTACAGTCGTCTGGAAGGGTTGAGAGCCACTGGGCAAGTGGATATGGCACTGGATTGGGACTTAGGAGACCTAGAGTCTATTCTTGCCTCTGCCACTGACCGACTATGTGCAGCTGTCTTCACTTCTCTGTACCTCTGGTTCTCCTTCCACCCTCTGTCTGTCTTGTCGTTATAGACCCTTCATCAGATCCGGGACTGTTGCTTACTGTGTGTTTGTACAGTACCCAGCACAATGGGGCTCCAGTCTTAGTTGAGGACTCTAGGTCTGACTGTGATACACATGAGAAGTAATAATGATTGCATGGCGACAGGGCTGTCCTTAGGAATTATGGGTGCCCTATGCAGTATTATTAAACCGGTGCCCCCATGCCCGACGGCAGCCCGGGCTCGCATGTGTATTTTAGATAAGGGTGGTCTTTTGAAGGATTTATTTAAAAAACTATATGTCTGAAGATCCAAGCATTTAAGGCTAAAGATGAATACTCAAATTGTGCATCTAAAAATCTATGCAAGGATTTTTTAGAGATGTGATTTTTATAATCTTCAGCAACACACTAGTGAAATATTTTTAAAGCAAATTTTAAACTAAGGTCCTGTAGATTAACATGTTCTGAGTAAATATTAATAGTAATGCACAACTGATTTTGGTCAGTAAATTCAGAAACTGACAGTATATACCTGGGGGTTGACAAATGCCTGTTAAATGGCTTCATTACCACTTGAATGGCTCTTTAAGAATTTCAGTGTTTCACTAGGTCTGGCAGGCTGGAAGCCTTTTTCACTTTTAACTACTAGATCCCCTCTTGAGGAAGACTCACCAGGCTGCAGCAGCCAGCTGTGGTGGGAGCCTGCAGGAAGGGTCAGAACAGGGATAGGAAGTGGCGGGCGGGTGGCCACTAAGACCCAGTGGTGCACCAAATTTTTGGGTGCCCTACACAACCGTGTATGCTGCGTATGCCTAAGGACGGCATGTAGGCCAGAGAAAACTTGTTTAAGAACATACTATCTTTCTCCTGGACAAATGTCTACAGATTTGTAGCACATACAATAGACTTCCCATGTATTCTTAGTGCCCAGTAGTTCGAGAAGCTTTCACCGTATCAGATCAGTGCTCCATAAACTGCCATTAAAAATTCAGTAAGTAGGCTTCAATGTGACAGAATATTTTCCAGGGTGCCAGGACATGACAGATTATGAGAGGTTGTATGTCATTTTTTCTTAAGTAAATTTTTTTTAAAAGTAACTGTTTCTTAATCATGTCTTAAATACTTAAGAAATCACATACATTGCTTGTTTCAGTTGAAGACAATGGTGTTACATCAGTTTGTATTGTTGTAAAGCCGTTAACTTCAAATGAAGTTTGATTTATAACAATCTAAACAAGAGGCAGTTCAGGCCTGATCCGTTGAATAATCAAAACAAGCAGGATAAGCAGGGCATTCAGCACATCAGTCAAATTAGCTTTTTTCCCCAATCACTTTCTTTCATTTGCCCCAAAGTGCCAATCCCTAATGAGCTGGTGCCTTTTCTGCCTGGTGTGACACCCCTCCAGCTCTGCAATTTAACTACACCCACCCACTGAAAGACACCGGAGCACGAAAGCTATATGTATGGGTAAGGTACCTCTGAACTTTCTCCCTTAAAAAGCAGTTTCCTAAAATATGTTTAGGGACAGATTTTCAAAAGTATTCCACGTTGGTCTACTTCTGTTCTAGTTGATGTCAGTGGGAGATTTTACTTCAAAGGGAACGGAGTTAGTTTTGAAAATCTCACCCTAAATATTTTTGTTTCATACATATCAACGGTATAATAAAACTGCTGAGAACTGGAGGAAAGAGACAGGCTTAACCCATACAGACAGCATCCTGCTCCAGAATTCATCACTCGTGATTGACGTCTTTAGCAGAACGTACGCTGGGGCATCGTATCAAGCAGAAGCCATTGACCTACAATGGGTTGCCAATTTACATATCTACAGAAATGTAGGGCAAAATCTGTAGTTATCATTTCTCTTTTGAACTATGAAAAATGATTTTTATGTACCAAATAACCCAACTTACTTGTTGAGGGGCATAGAAGAGTGGCAATTCAATATATTTTCATTTGAGACAGGGATTGTCTTTTATTCTGTTTGCACAGCGCCTAGCTCCAGGGGGCTCTGATCTCAGCTGAGGCCTCTCGGCATTTCCAGAGTACAATCAAGAAATAGCACCATAAAGTTATTGCTCCTTTGGAGCATTACTTTCATGGAGCCACAGTCTTTCGCTTGCTTTTTAGCTGCTCGGCACTAAGTCTACCTTGCGATCATGTGCTGCTATCCATGCGCCAAATGGTTCACAGACAACGCCTTTAAAAACAGCACTTGAGTTCTGAATCTCCAAAGATAGCTGGGAATGGAGAGAGAATAGATTGGTAAGTGTAGAGACAAATATTTGGAGAACTCCAATTATTCTGCACAGCTCTGGCACTCTTGGTGTTTAGCTCACCGTAAGTAGCCCTCCCCAAAGCAGGGCTGCAGCAAGTTGCAATTAAACTGGACAGTAATGCAGCTCAGTGAAAATGGGTATCTGAACTGAGCTCCTGGAATCTGCCTTACAAATGTCTGAGATGGGAGCTTTGCCGCGGGAAACCTTAGAGACTCTATTAGCACTAGTAAAACGAGACCGGAGACTTAATAGGACGAGTACATATGCCTCGTTTGTTGGAATACACTGTGCTAGCCATTTGATCCATTCTTCTGATTATATATATATATATATATTTTTTTTTTTTGGAGGAGGATTTTTTTTAAATCCACCCATGAAATTTTGAACAAGTGTTGCTAGAGTTAGTCACGCACAGTCTGTTCATTTTGTTGCTTGCTACTTTACTCCAGCTGCTTCTAGCTAATTCTCACTAATCCCTGAGTATTATGTTAACTGCTGAGAAATATCTGCAGGGAAAGGATTTACTTTAAAACCAAGAAGGCATTACAAAAATGACAAGTAAACCATTGTAGCCCAGTAACTTCTTTGTAGCCCAAAACTTCTCAAAAGTTTTTCTTGTATAAAATCATTTCAAGACAAGCAAGCTTTTAAGGTTTGCTTTTTCAACCTGACATTTTTTGTGAATTTAGTGCTGGTGGATGGAGTTGGGTTGACCTCCCTAGAGACTTAACATCTCTCTCCATGGAGCAAGCAGCAGCTGTGTAACCTTCCCTGGCCAGGGAGTCTGCACTTTGACCGAGAAGGACAGCTTGTAAGAGTGAAAGATTCTTTGATCTCCATGACTGGCTCGTTCCTTGGCCTCTACTGATACTGATAACAGGGGTGACACTTGCACCCTGAGGTCTGGACCTGGTATCATCATCTTAGTATTTCTTCCTTGCATGTTTGTGTGTTTCAATCCAAGAGCTTTGGTTCTTAGACTCATTGAATCTTAGAAATGTAGGACTGGAAGGGACCTCAATAAGTCATCTAGTCCATTCCCCTGCACTAAGGCAGGACTAAGTATGATCAAGACCATCCCTGACAAGTGTTTGTCTAACCTATTCTTAAAAACCTCCAATGATGGAGATTCCACAACCTCCCTAGGTAATTGTCAATCCCATGCTAATATACTCACCTGCAATACAAACTGCATCTGTAATTAGCCCATCAACCAACTAAATAGATTAACATGAAGAAGGAATTTTTCATAGAATCAAAACTTTCTGACTGTTGGGCCAAAGTTTGGGACTGTATGTCACAAAAATTACCTGCTTTCGCTTTTGCTCCACTTCAGTCATTTGATACCCACTGAAGGATGTTCTAGTGACTATTTGGGAAAAATAGAACCCAGAATGAGGGGACAGAGAAGAGTTTCCTTTCCCTGTCACTGAAGTCCATGTCCTTGAGTTTCCATTTGAGAACAGAAGTTTTCATGAAACCTCTACCCATTGAGGGGGTTGTTTCAATGTTTGGTTGTGCTGAGCTCTTTAGAAGGGATGGTAGAAAGAGGATCATAAACAAAACACATTCTTCATTCTGTGTAATATTTGTAAAGCCTATAACCTATTTCTGTGGCTTCCTTAGTCACTGCTTCTGTGCAGAATATCTGCTCCAGTGCTCAGCAATCTCTCTGACACTGCTGAGCTGTACTTTTCTATGCAGTGTTGGTATAAGATGCAGATTTAGAGTATAGTAGTATAAACCTCTGTACTATTTTATAATGAGAGGGATAGCTCAGTGGTTTGAGCATTGGCCTGCTAAACTCAGTGTTGTGAGTTCAATCCTTGAGGGGGCCATTTAGGGATCTGGGGCAACAATCTGTCAGGGGATTGGTCCTGCTTTGAGCAGGGGGTTGGACTAGATGACCTCCTGAGGTCCCTTCCAACCCTGATATTCCATGATTCTATGAATGTGCCACATATCCTGATAACCTCCTAACTGAAATCACCCCTTTGGTCATTCCAAATGCATTTTTCCCCATCTTTTAGGGCTTGGCCCTTCATTGGGATCTGCTAGCATGGAGCCCTGCACCAATATTCAGACCTGCTTGGAGCCTTAGGGTGAAATCCTAACCCGACTGATGTCAATGGGATTTTTGCCATTGACTTCAGGGAGCCAGGATTTCAGCCCTCACCTTTCCCTCCGCCTGCCTGTGCTTTTCCAAGCCTGGCTTTGCTTAACCCGTCTCAACTTTTCTCGGCTGCTCATCAGCTCCACTCAGCTCTTTGTTGCTTTGGGTCGTGTCATCATTCTGAGGCTTTCTTCTACTCTCCTTGTCGCCGCTCTGCACTCTTCGGTGTATGTTAACTGCCATGAGTTTACACTTTTCTGTACAAACATGCGTGGATCGTGCTTACCTATGCACTCCTAATGCTCCTGGTCTTTCCCGCTCAGGGGATAAGGCGTAGGATGGCACGTGGTGGTGTTATACATGAAGGCAACTCTCTTAAAAGGACAAATATAAAATTCTGTAAAAGAAAATCAGGCCTTCAGGAAAATCAAAGGTTGAAACAATTCCGTGGTGCTGACTAAATCTATTTATGGTGTTACTTCTGCCCCTTTTAACCATTACAATAGATTAATAACAAGCCCAAGTACAGAGAGCAGATTTGTCTGCTCTTTTTTTGTTGTTGGATATAAATAAACTTGTAGATAAGAATAGCTTTAACATTTTTGCTCACCTTAGAATAACTCCCATGTAACTCTGGCATCTGGCTTGCTGTGGTAAAAAATGCAAAGCGGGCCAAATTCTGTGCTCAGTAATATGAATGCAGCCATACGGACTGAAGAAGGATTGAACTTGTGTAACTAATTTGGCCTACTCTGTTGAAGTTATTTAACTTTTATCAACTAGTTATAATTAAATTAGTTCAGACTTGAGCTAAAATTACCCATGATGGGTACCAGCTGAGGACTGTCCTTTTTTGCATAGTGCTATAACTTTTCAATTGTGACTTCTAACTACCATATCAAACTGAAAAAATTGACTGATGACAGGAACTTCCCAAACCAAAGTACATCAGCACCTTACAGTTTCCAAGTTTGTTGCTTGATTATACTGCTTTTATCTTTACATGTAGGTATGAGAATCTATATCTAGTCTGAATCTAGCATGAAGACTAGGTTCCCTGCTACTTTTTTGGAGGTAATGCTTTACAGTGCACTTTTGCTCTGAAAAGTGACTCCATAAAAATGGCATTGCAGTGGAGGAGTTACCTGTTCGTTGTGTCTTGGCCACTTTCATGTTATTTACCAGGCAGAAAGATGTTTTTCTAACTGCCAGTGCTCAAACTTCCCTGAGATATTTGTAGGTCAAGCAGTTCAGGCACCATCCTAAGTAATAAAGTTTCTGCAGTCAAAACTGAGGATGATGCGTGAGCCAGGAGAGACTCCAGCTCCCAGAGCTGCGTTAGCTCTGCAATTAGTAAAAACTTACCTTTGTCACCGAAACCAAAGAGCTCTGACTCTGGATATACACAGAGAGCAGATGTTTGGAGGGAAAAGGGGCTATTTTTACATAGTCAACTTTTCTTGTCATCCTCACTCTCTTAAACTAAACTGGTATCTCTCTTTCACGTTCGAGGAGAATGATCCAATGCCCGCTGAGGTCAATGGAAAGCTTCAATTAACTCCTGTGGGTGTTGGATCAGGCACTACATTGTAAAATGAAGTGGCATGCTGTAGTCATTAAAGGGGGAGTTATATTCGACATGCTATAATTGTTTTGTTGTATAAAAACTTCTAATTAAAAATATATTATTATTAATATTGTCTGTAGGTTCATTCCAGTCTCAGAAAAAGAACTTATTCCACAAAATTGTCAACAAATATAAGCACAAAAAGGAGAAGTTTAAGGTTCCGGAAAAAGGTACTGGTGCATTACTCAGTCAAGGCTTCTGGCCACCTTCTCTCTGAACTCAGTCTTGGGTAATGCTTCCATGCAGAGGATACTCAATTCTGTATCCCTTTCACTCTTTTGGCCCCTTACCTCACTTTCTGTCTGCTTCAACTTCACCAGCTTCTGGCTCTGGCAATATCTTCCTTCGTTTCAATATTTTTAAAAGCTGATTAATTGAAGACCTCCCCTAATGATCATTCCACCTCCTCTGCTTAAATCTCACCTTCCCCTCTACAACCAGGAGCTGAGTTGTTGAAATTGATCCTGAATTCCTTTCACCTACTTCAGCTTTCTAATGTTGGCTGCTTCTGTCTCCATCCCCCCTATAGCAGACAGTCTTGAATACTCCTCTGTCAACACTCTTCTATATTGTCTCATCTTATCACCTCTTGACTGGAGTAACACCTGCATTAATGATTTCCCTGTGTCTCAGTTCTACAAAATGTGACTTTTTTTCCACACCAGTACCCAGGAATATATCCCCCTCGCCAACCCTCCATCTTCAGAAATCTTTACTGGCTTCCTATTCTTTACAGAATCCAGTTGAAAATCACCTTCCTAGTCTTCAAGTTCCAATGTGGATTTGCCCCTCCCTTCACCCAGCCCCTCCAGCTCTCCAAAATCATTTCTGTCTCTGTTTTCTGGGTCTGATCCTGCATTTCCAGCACTCTCAAAACTCCCATGGGAATTTGCAAGTGAACAAGTTGTGCAGAATCAAAGTCCAAGCTGTTGACGAAGTTTTTCACTAGATTAAATTTTTTCCTCTTGTCTTCCCATACCCATTTGGTCTTTCACCAGTGGACCGGAGATTCTTCTCCCATATCGACCCTGCTGCATGGAGCAGCCTCTCTCCCTCTTTTTATTTAACTGACTCCTTGAATCTCTTCAGATGATCCCATTGCAAGACTCCCCCTCTCCTCTGGTCTGACTCCTAACCCTCTTTCTCAGATAATGCAATTTAAATCCTACTCCCCAACTCTCCCCATTTCCCTGTGCTTAATCCTTCTCCCTGGAGCTTGGCCATGGTGCCCCTCTTCATTCCCTGCCCTGTCACATCCACCGATGTTATTGTGCCTGTGTGCTGCATTGTGACCTGTGTGGCCTATTTGTGCTATATTGGAATGCATAGACTGTACCCAGCTGTGAAGCATTCAGTGATAACGAAATTTTGTGTGGTCAGTGGTATATAACAATATACTTACTTGCACAAGTATATGTTGTGGTGGTTGTTTACAAGAAGTAAGTACCTTTCTTAATGGCTGGATGTGAGACTGAGTATTGGTATAATATGTAGGTAGAGTTCTTACTGAGTACCTTTCAAATTACCATGCCTAAATTATGAATGAGTTGTATAGGTCATCTGCTAGGAAATATGTTTCTGTTTTGCTGAATCCTCATTAGAAAAAATAGGGGAACCATTGAATAAATATATGAGTTTAAAAAATATATATATCTTCGTATCTACAACCGAAAAACAAAAAATCCTCCAAAGCTCAAAAGCACTTTGATTTTTAAAAAATTTCTGATACAAGGTGAAATACACATTGTAATAAAGGACTCGATCCTGCCAGCTGTTAAGCACTCTGGCCCCAGTCCAGGAAAACACATAAGCATGTGCTTAACAGTTAAGCATGTGAGTAGTCCCACTGCTTAAACATTAAGAATGTGCTTATGTGTTTTGCTGGACTGAGGCCAGATTGGTTAGCTCCATTCAGGGTTGCATCTTAAAGTAAGGAAAACTTGGAACTTCACAACATTGTTTATTTGTCATATAAAGGTCATCCGGGAAAGAACTGTGTGATTCTGTTATAGAAAGCTGCTGATATAAAGTACTGATTAGAATTCAGGACTGGGGTTAAGAGGATCTAGATTCTGTGTCAAATTTTCAGAAGTGAGTTGGGCATTTTCGGATTCTAAGTCCCATTGACTTTCAATGAAACTCAGACCCTTAAGGGCCAGATTTACAAAGGTATTTAGGTACCCAAGATGGAGATAGGTGCCTAGTGGGATTTACGGAAGCACTAAGTGCGTAACGCCCATTGAAGTCACCTGCTTTTAGGGGATTTTGAAAATCCCACTAGGCACCTATTTGTAGCTTCAATCATCTAAATACCTTTGTAAATCTGGTCCCGAGTGCCTAAGTCACTTTTGCAAATGGAATTTAGGAGACTACATCACTTAGACACTTTTGAAAATTTTATCTTCTATTTCCAACTCAGCCATTGGCTCACCGTGTGACTTTAGCCAAGTCATTCTGACTCTGTGCCTCAACTTCCTCATGTGCAAAATAAGAAAGAACTTTACCCACCTTTTGTAAAGTCTTTTGGAGATCTTTGGATGAACAGCTCAGCAGACTTAGGGCAGGTCTACACTAACCCCCCAATTCAAACTAAGGTACGCAACTTCAGCTACGTGAATAACGTAGCTGAAGTTCAAAGTACCTTAGTTCGAACTTACCTAACTACGGTCCAGACGCGGCAGGCAGGCTCTCCCGTCGACTTCGCGTACTCCTCTCGCCGAGCTGGAGTACCACAGTCAACGGCGAGCACTTCCGGGTTCGACTTATCTCGTCCAGACAAGACGCGATAAGTCGAACCCAGAAGTTGGATTTGCATGCCGCCGAACTACCGGGTAAGTGTAGACCTACCCTTAGTCTTCTCTTATGTTTCTATCCGGAAATATTGGAATCCCAGCAGAAATGGAAATAGTTTGAGCAAAGAAACACACAAGAGCAGTACAGGCAGGGAGCAAATAATTGATGTCTTAATTTTGTGTGATTATGGGCACACTCTTAGCCCAGTCTACCCTGAGCTGCTTTTTAAAATGTCCTGCCATTGTAGTATCACCAGTTCTACTGGTGGGCGTTCTAGTGTAGACAGGGCTTTGGCAACCATTGGCATTTTTACCAGTGTCTCCTAGACATGCTCTGTGCAGGAATAGACAATTCTTAAAAATCTGGCGCCTTGTCCAGTGGAAGTGCACTGGTACTATTGCAGTAGTGAGAAATGTTAAGCAAAAATTCAGTGTAGTTACAGCCCTGGGATAAAATGATGCCATCTCACCCATTCTATCCAGACCTTAATAGTAAAGGCTCCATGCATTCCTAGGCAAGCTGGGCCTAATTTTTTTCAGCAAGGCCCTGGATTCTGCATCGTTCTGGTGTAGCAAACTGGAAAATCTGTAGCAGCTTTAATTAAAAACCTCTTATTTTTTTAATGTAAATAATCAAATATTATAATGAGTAATTTCCCCTTGTGTTTAATTTGGTATGAAATGTTGTTAATTTGTGCTGGCCTCGTTTTCTGTGTCACAGATTTTTTGTATTGACAAACGCAACTGCATAAAAAAATGGAAATGGGGGAAACTGGATGTTTTGATAAGTGGATCAGGGACAGGTGGGGCTTTTGGCCACTGGGGAGGCATGGGAGGTAGTTTGATTGTGGGATGATTGTGGGATATCACCTTCAGCTGGATGTTTCTGCTACAAATAATAAGTCGTGAAAGAGTTAGCCATATTGAAATGTAAACATTTGCCTTTAGGTTTTAGATTTAACATCCCGTGGAGATGAATGGAGCAGTTTACACCTCTCAGTGGAAAATGCTGCTTCATTTCACTCATCGTTCATGTTTTCAATGTTTTCTTGGCAACCATGAGAGCTAGAAAAGTGTGGATGTTTGTGTAATAGATGTTGTTTTGTTGTCGTGCAGTAGCTCCTGGGAGCACCAGTCATAGACCGGAACCCTGTTGTGCTAGGTGCTGTACAAACACAGAATAAAAAGACCATCTAAATAAAAGACAAGAAAAAAACATATAGATACAGACAGGGGAATACAAGGAAACAGTGAGACAGCATTGTGTAAATAGGATGGATACAAGGTGGGGGGGAAGTAGAACACAAGCAGAGTGAACAATGGAAGGGCAGCAAATGTACTGTTGATTCCTTTTATTTTATTTTGGGGTGAAGGGTTGGTTACTTAGAAGGGGATCAGCTAACTGGAAAGCAAACGGAAGGAAAAGGAATAAGAGGAACAGAATGAAGCTGAGGAGAAGAGACTCCAGGGAGGGTGCAGAAGGGTTGGCACAAACAACCAATCCACACAGGACAGTGAAAGTCAGAGAACATACTAGTTTTCACTGTAGTGTTCAGAAGTTGGAAGGTTCCTGCATTTCCAGTCGCCCTTCCACCCCCCCTCATCCCCCCGGTCATTCATGGAATTTGTCATGCCTCCCCTTTCCTTACCTGTAATCTGAAACTGTTTGTTTTTTGGAAGGGCTCTACCCCGTAGCAGAACTGCGATCCCATTGCCGTAATAGTGGGAGCAGGATAAAAATTCAACAAACAATGCACAAGCAATTGGAGTGGGTATAGTGAGACGGGAACGGTATTTAAAAAATAGTCGTCCTGTGCTGCAGACAACATGATCTCCCCGGCCGCTCAGCTCTGAAGGCAGCACCACCGCCAGCAGCAGCGCAGAAGTAACTGTGGCAGTGCTGGCAGCAGCACTGCCTTCAGAGCTGGGTGGCCAGAGAGTGGCGGCTGCTGGCCAGGGCGTTCGTGTTTTTTGCAACATGGAAGGCCTTTTCTTTTTTTTTTTTTTATTATTATAATATATCATATATAAATATACAAAATACCCATTCTATTTTTAGAATGGCCAGGGGGAGATTCTGCTTGGGGTGGGGGGGGAATGCAAGTGTGGATCCTGGAGCACAATTCTTCAGCAAGGATAAATTCCATGGCGAATTCTGCAGCTGTGGGATTGTGGGATGTATGGACCCTCTTTGCACTGGGCACTTATTTGGATTTTGTCTCATCATAGTCATGTTGTACACAGTATTGCTAATACAAGCTATTTCTTCTTTGGGTGTGAAAGATTTCTTTTTTAATTCCAATAAAACAGTGGTACTAAGTAATTGGAAGTGAGAAGGGGAGGATAATACCTCATCACCTTCCCAGCCACTATCAGCC